GGGGGGGGTACTGTAACCTCACACCCTTAGGGTGGCATGGTCTCTCGGGGGGGGGGTACTGTAACCTCACACCCTTAGGGTGGCATGGTCTCTCGGGGGGGGGGTACTGTAACCTCACACCCCCAGGGTGTCGGTTTGATTCCTGCCCCCTGCAGTCCAGAGCCCGTGTGAGTCATGGACTGCTGGCTATTCACGGCCCAGTGATGGATGCACCATGGGAAGATGCGGAAGGATGCGTGTGAGATAGAGTGACACACTTTTTATAGTCTATGTGTCAGCGCTCCGGCACAGCTTCAACAAGAAAGGAGGGAAGCAGGGGTCATTTTAGTCACTGCTGAGGACTGAGAAACAAGGAGCCGCACCTATTCACATTCATATTTAATAAGCTGACAGAATGTATCTGTAGGAATGTGGATTCGCATATAGATGTTTTAATGTGGTTTATAAATGACACTATGTGCCATTCAGCTGAACAGCTTCACCTTCATCCCCGCTCCTTACCCCTGCCCCTCGCTCCCTGCCCTCCCCCCCTCACCTCTGACCTCCCCCTCCCCCTCCACCTCTACCTCCCCGCTCCTTACCCCTGACCATCAGCTCCCACACCTCCCCCCTCGCCTCCTGTACCTCACTCCTCGCCCGTGACCCTCACCTTCCACTCCCCTCTCCTCTCCCCATACCCTCACTTTTTGTTTGCCCCTCTCTCCCACAGTTGTCTGCTTTGACGCCAAAATCAACTTTGACGACAATGCGGAGTTTCGACAGAAGGACGTGTTTGCCATGGACGACATGACAGAGAGCGATCCCATTGAGACGGAGGCGGCCAGATACGACCTGAAGTACATCGGGTTGGACGGGAACATCGCTTGTTTTGGTGAGTGGGCCAGGAGAATCGCAGTGGTATGGGATGTCGAGTCTACACCAAAGCCGCCCCCCCCACCTGGGTGACAGCTGTTAAGCTAAATTTCCTTTCATGCCAGCTAGGATGGCTTCACAGCTCGGCAGCTAAACTGGCAGAGACACCCGCGGCTGAGATTTCAGCTTTAGGCACCTGCAAATACCCCCAATTCATCCCGCTTTCCTCACTGCTGTCTAACTTTTAACATTTACAGGTCATTGTTATTCCTGAAAGGGACGCCGACGGTGTTCACCGGCCTGGGAAAGGCACCAGGATAAGAGGCGGGGCAGCAACGTGAAGCAGCCAATCCCGAGGCTGTTTATTAAAAAATAAAATAAAATATGCAGGCAGACGAAGGCAGATATTCTGATGGATGTTAATAAGCTAAACCCGGCTTCTGTAGCCGCCCAGCTGGTGGGGACCCTGACAGACGTCAGACGCAGTCTTGCTGGGCCGTGTGTCCGCGCCATGATCTCGTGCGGTAGGAGCTGCAGTGCCACTGACCTGAGACCTGCCCTTTGCAGTGAACGGCGCTGGCCTCGCCATGGCCACCTGCGACATCATATACCTCCACGGCGGCAAGCCGGCCAACTTCCTGGACCTGGGGGGCGGCGTGAAGGAGAGCCAGGTGTACCAGGCCTTCAAGCTGCTCTCGGCCGACCCCAAGGTGGGTGTCCCATCACAGAGCCCCCCCTCACGGAGTCCCGCTGTCGTTCTACTGTAACGGTGGTTCCATGTCAGTCAGTATTTGTAATGGAAGTGCTTAAAGTAAAAGGAACTGTCTGCTACATCGTCATGGAGACCGAGCACCAAAACACCCCCCCCCACACAGCGCAGTCTTTTGGATGAGGTGTTACCCAGAGGGCCCTGTGGAGTATGTGTGTTAGCCATACTCTCAGCGAATCCTCTTCCAATCAACTCTATCCAACTTCCTGCATTTATTTAGTAGCAATATGCATTTTACTTTTGTGATTTTCATGGTCTTTCTTTTTTTCTTTACGCTCAAGGAATATATGAATTATCTACTGTATATGAACACAGTGAAGAATCTCCCCCACATCTCAGTCCTGATAATTTGCCACTTTCAGACTGTTAAACCCTCTGTACTGTGCAGTCCTCTAATCACCGTAATGGTACATTGATGTCCTGTTTGCATGTTTGCCATTAGCATGCGCTTAATTATCGCCGTAAATGCCGCCCCCTGCTGGCATAACTCTGTGATTGACAGTAAGCCTCAGTGGCGTGCGAGATGAATTTGCATTTCATAGGGATTTTTTTGAGGTTTTCCGACTCGCTGGCTTTGTGGTGGGAATGTTAATTACTGGGTCCCTGGAAAGATAACCCCCATTTACATCTTCGCTTCATTTTTTCGACGACTGTTTAAGTTCCCCTCACGGTGGTTAGAACCAGGTGTGTTGTGACACGGGCCTCTGTGGGTAATCTCTCTGGTTGATCGTCCTGGTGAACAGGGAACTTGTGGGGGTGTCCTTCCTTATTACCTCGAGGCGCTGCATATTACGATGGTGGAAAAATGCAGAAGCGCATGAAAGTGTGTTGTGTTCCTTTGGAGTGGCGTGGCGTGGCGTGGGCGCTGCTGCGAATCCCCGTGCAGCGGCTGAGCCGGACGCTGCCTGGTGCCGCCTGCCCTCTTCCCCGTCCGCTGCCTGGTGCCGCCTGCCCTCTTCCCCGTCCGCTGCCTGGTGCCGCCTGCCCTCTTCCCCGTCCGCTGCCTGGTGCCGCCTGCCCTCTTCCTCGTCCGTTAAGTATACAATTGGATGCACGGTTTCTCCGCTGCACGCTAGCGCGGTGCTCAGGATGCAGTAAGCCGCCTTTAGTCGCGTCTCACCAAAGCGGCACTCTTCGAGGACTCGGACATCTAGGCCAAAACGCACGCATTAGACCCACTGCAGTAGCCAGCGATGCACCGATTGCATTTTCCTTGGCTGGTGCCCTACTGTGGATGGAAGCTCAATTGGGACAAAAAGTAACTTTAAGTTGGTAAACTACTTGATCGGCTTATAATATTAATATTTAGACTGATTTGTCGATAAGTTAGCACCGATAAAGGTGAAAATCGGCCATTTCCGGTCACTTGCCAATCGATTGCTGCATCCGTAGTAATAGCAACGGCATTGACTTTGACTTAGAGGAGATTTTCACCTCGGGCAGCCGGCGCCGCTCTGCTGGCAGGCGTTCGCATGTGCACGACCTTGGGCCTGTGGAGTTCACCCGGCCTTGCAGACGGCACCCGGGAACAAACCGCCCCGCTCCGCTGAATGATGCATCAAAGGGGAGACGGCAGCCTTCTGTGGGTCCAGCCCTCACTCCGTGACGACGCGTCAGACACCAGTCGAGCTTAGGGTCTCGAGAGAGGTGAGGTGTCTGAATCGCACGCGGAGGGCAGATACTGGTTCTGGGTCTGATAACGTTATCTGAGAGTGGTTTATTAGACATTTATCACCTGTTAGGGAGGGGTGTTTCAGTCTGCCCGTGGGGGGCGTGGCCATGTCCACGTGGGGGGCGTGGCTGTCTCCCAGGGGTGTTTCTGCGCAGAGTTTATAGTGTGAGCTTTTCAAACCTATTTGGTCCAGAGGGTGTTCACATAAATACCCAAGTATTCAGTAAGTACCTGAGTATTCAGGGCATACTGTCCAGTACTTGCTCGCTTTGAAGACATGGGCAAGGCAGCTCTCATGTCACGTGGTTATGGATCATCAAAATGGCTACCGGTGGATTGTTAGTTTCTGCCTCACTGTGGGGCTGGGGTCAGAAGAAGCACTGAGTCCTGTCTCTTCCTGTAGCTCGTGACCGCAGAGTTATGTCCGTAAGAGCTCTCTCCTTCCACACCCCTCTGCGTGCCAAGCTCCCAATCCAGCTGCATCTCGTGTCTGTGTCTCCACAAGAACTCTCACCTTCATGTTTTCATCCGGGGGGACAATGACTTGGTTGTTGCTAGGAAATAATCTCCAGACAACCAGAGAACATAGTCGTTGAGTTTATTAAAACGAGTAATTGCTGTTTGATTGCTTAAGGAGCTGAGTAGTTTCTGTTACTGTGGAGTGTCTTAGGAAGTAATGAGCTGATGGATTAGAGCAGGGAGCTGACAGGGAGAGGGCGTCTGCTTTGGGTGGGATGTCTCCTGTGAAATCAGCGAGTCGGGATGTAAGTACGGCAGGATCAGCTGTGCTTAGTCTTCTTATTAATAAGCTCTTCATCTCGTTGGCTTTGCTGTGATCCTGTGATATGCTGAACCCAGATACAGAACAGGTATCTATACAAGTAGCTATATAAGTGGTTCCATTACTGTTGTCCTGACAAAAAAAGGCACCCGGTTGGATGGCATGGAGTGAAGTTCTTCTTTCTTTTTTTTTTTCCCTCTTCTAAATGACACAAAAAATTTCCCCTCTATTTTCGTCAGGTGTCTGTGGCCACCTGCAGTCGTGGGCTGTGATTACAGTGCCCCCCCCCCACCCCGCCATATCCGTTCTATTTAAATCTGGAAAACTTTAAGAAATAATTAAATAACAGTAGGTTTACACTGATTCATTGCTTTTCAAAGCTACTTTATTTTTGGCCCCAGGGGGTTGGGGGCGTAGGACAGAAACCTGATCAAGTCTCCCCCTCTGTCCGCATTAAATTACATCTGCAATCGATAGCTGAAGCGCTGAGAGAGTCATTCAGGATGTTAGCTTTCAGGCTTATCGCCTCCAACACAAAGCAGCTCATCAGTCTGCGGTCTGAGGGGCCCCTGTGGACACGCCGCCGTTAGCCCCCGCAGTCAGAGGGGCCCCTGTGGAAACACCGCCTAAGCCCCCACGTTCTGAGGGGCCCCTGTGGAAACACTGCCTAAGCCCCCACGTTCTGAGGGGCCCCTGTGGAAACACCGCCTAAGCCCCCACGTTCTGAGGGGCCCCTCTCGACACGCCGCCTAAGCCCCCACGTTCTGAGGGGCCCCTATCAACATGCCGCCTAAGCCCCCACGTTCTGAAGGGCCCCATGTTTACCTGTTGCCTGTTCGTTCACCCATGCTGTAGTAACACCGTCACAGTGGGTGGTCTGGACTGTGGCACAGGCCCAGCCGTGCAGCCTGATCGTGGTCGAGCCAAAGCCCCCCCAGGTTGAATAGTCTTTGAAGCCCATTTAGGACAGAGTCAGACTGCAGAGACCGACCTGGTGGCTAGGATCTGGACCAGGGATGTGTGTGTCAGGTCTGGGCGGTTCGCTGCTAACGTGCCCCTGGGCTGCCAGCTACATCTGGGGCCTGAGGTGGGAAAGAGAGGGATGGAGGGAGAGAGAGACGGGGAGGAAGAGAGAGAGAGAGAGAGAGAGAGAGAGGAAGAAAGTGAGGGTGGGTGATCTAGGATGAGAAAAGCAGAGTGAGAGAAGCCTCCTTAGGTCATTGGGAGCCTTCACTAGCAGCAGAGCCGCAGAGTGTGTGCACAGACACACGGGAGAGCGAATGGAATGTCGGCGAGTGTTTGCACAGACACACAGGAGAGCGAATGGAATGTCGGCGAGTGTGTGCACAGACACAGGAGAGCGAATGGAATGTCGGAGAGTGTGTGCACAGACACAGGAGAGTGAATGGAATGTCGGAGAGTGTGTGCACAGACATACAGCAGAGCGAATGGACAGTCGGAGAGTGTGTGCACAGACACACAGGAGAGCGAATAGAAAGTCGGAGAGTGTGCACAGACGCACAGGAGAGCGAAAGGAAAGTCGGAGAGTGTGTGCACAGACACAGGAGAGCGAATGGAAAGTCGGAGAGTGTGTGCACAGACATACAGCAGAGCGAATGGAATGTCGGAGAGTGTTTGCACAGACACACAGGAGAGCGAATGGAATGTCGGAGAGTGTTTGCACAGACACACAGGAGAGCGAATGGAATGTCAGAAAGTGTGTGCACAGACACACAGAAGAGCGAATGGAAAGCTTGGTGAGTTTGTGTACGGACACAGCAGAGCAAATGAAAAGTCGGAGACTGTGTGCACAGACATACAGCAGAGCGAATGGAAAGTCGGAGAGTGTATGCACAGACATACAGCAGAGTGAATGGAATGTCGGAGAGTGTGTGCACAGACATACAGCAGAGCGAATGGAAAGTCGGAGAGTGTATGCACAGACGCACAGTAAAGTGAATGGAAAGTCGGCGAGTGCGTCTTTAGCAAAAAGCCCTTTTATTATCCCCCTCTTGCTAACATCTGCGCAGTGCCTGCAATCAGTCACGCTAAGTCACCTAAACCGTCTATCTCACACGTATAGCTGCGCATTAGCTGCCGTCGCCATCTCTTGCATGTTATATTAGCGTGTAGATGTGCTCGTGCTCCTGGATCGTCATCTCCCGGAATGCTCTCCTCTCGAGCGTGCACCGAAATTGCAGGGAAGAGCGAGGCCCGGTGAGCTAATGAACAATTTTCCACAGCAGCTCCAATGTTCTTCTTCCCGGCGGAGAAGTCCATCTCGGCCCGGTCCCCACATTGCCAATTTATGTGCCGTGAAATGGCACTGAGTCCAGGATCCGTGTTGAATCTGTGCTCTGTAGATGATATAGTGGATTATTCTGCACAAATAACACCCTCCCGTAACAAATAATGATTTCATTTACTGCTTAAGCTTGGTGTGACGGAGCTATAGCTCCCAATAAGTCCCAGAAGAAATGCCCCCCCC